TGCAAATGACAATACAGACAAAAGGTTGATATCCAGGATCTATAAAGAACTCCTCAAACTCAACACACACAAAACAGACAATCATATAAAAGAATGGGCAGAAGATATGAACAGACACTTCTCCAATGAAGACATACAAATGGCTATCAGACCCATGAAAAAATGTTCATCATCACTAGCCATCAGGGAGATTCAAATTAAAACCACATTGAGATACCACCTTACACCAGTTAGAATGGCCAAAATTAGCAAGACAGGAAAAAACGTGTGTTGGAGAGGATGTGGAGAAAGTACCATACTGTTTTGATTATGACAGCTTTGTACTATAACTTGAAATCCAGAATGTGCTACCTCCAGTTTTGTTCCTCTTCTGAAGAAAGCTTTGGCTATTTGGGGGGCTTCTGTGGTTCCATACAAATTTTACTATTATTTGTTCTAGTTTTGTGGAAAATGCTGTTGGTATTTTGATAGGGATTGCATTGAATCTATAGATCACTTTGAGTAGTATGGACATTTTGACAATATTAATTCTTCCAGTCCATGAGCATGGAATATCTTTCCATTTGTTTGTATCATCTTCAGTTTTTTTCGTCAATATTTTATAGTTTTCAGAGTACAAGTCTTTCACCTCTTTGGCTACATTTATTCCTAGGTATTTTGTTCCTTTTAGTGCAATTATAATGGTGTTGTTGTTTTTTAATTTCTTTTTCTGCGACTTCATTGTTAGTGTATCGAAACGCTACCAATGGGTAGCATTGGTCTTCTATTTTATGTAAATTTTACTTAATTCATTTATCTGTTACTTATTTCATGGTGTGCCAATGTCTGAGGGCCTTATATCTTTTTTCTTTTTAATCTTATGACATGGTATGGGGCAAGTAGTATTTTAAAAAATGAAGTAACTTGTATGAGAGCAGACAAATCGTGGAGTGAGGATTGGAACCCACTGTCTGAACACATGCTCATCTCGCCATAATGCAAAGAAATGATACATCCGATCTGCATTGCAAATATTGCACTGGGGCCACCCTGTCCTGTCCTTGCTAATTCCTCACTAACACACACTTCTGGATACTTCTGCCCTTGCATTTTTCCATTGGAAAAAACTTGAACCCTCCAGTTGTAGCCTACTAGGTCCCACTTCCAGCTGCTAAAGCATCCCCTGCTGATACCCTTTCCTCCCCCTCCTCCAGGCTCCCTTGACAAATCCTCCCCACATCTCACAAGAGCCATCCTGGAATCCCACCCTCCCACTAACCCACTGGTCAGGTGCACCCCAGGCAGATCTGACCCTGATCTGCTCCCAGCACTGCTTGTCCAGTTGAACACAGCCTACTCTCTGACGTTCTCTATCCAAGGGCAAAGCAGAACAAGGTGTTCAGGGAGCCCAAGTGGAGAGGACAGACCTCTGAAGTCATTCTCAGACAATCTATAATGGCCAAGACTCTGACGGTCTAATACTAGAAATGCAGTAGATGCAACATATATATAGTGTAGAGTATAGTGTATACTCTAGGGCTACAAAATAGTCGCTTCATAACATAATATTATTATTTGAGAATCTTGGGAGATATGCATACATACATAGGAATGCATATTATATATTATGTTATGATTATATATAGCATATTATATATTATACAATAATTGTAATTATATAACTATACTCTTGTGATGTAATCATAATTAAATCATAAATATATAATATATACATATATACATATATAAATACATACATATGTACATATATACATACATGTATTATACATACATATATTTGATACACACACATATGTATATATTCCTAGATTTTCAAATGTCCTTTGGACAAGTTTCAACATATTTCTGGTTCTTTAATTAATTAATGAGTTGAATAAAATCTTTGACATGTATTCCTTTTGTATTTGCATGAGTCTTTCTTTTGTTTTTTGAGTCATGCTTTTTTAACCTTTTGAAAATTACACTTTAACACCATGCACAGAGACAAGGCTTTCTCTGGGGGACCAAACAAGGTCTTTAAGGAGCTATGTGATTCCTGGCTGAACAGAAACATCCCAGCAACACCTTTCAAATTTGTGTTGGCCACTGAGCAGCCCTGGACCTGGCCCCTGCCACAAGCACAGACTGTGTGGGAGCTTTAGGACTTGACTCCTGAGCTCCATTGAGGAGCTTTCCTCCCCAGCTTCCAAGTGAGGCTCCAGGTCAAAGCAGAGGCTGGACCGGCCCCCTAGGGCTTACCAATTATTTGGCAAAGTGCAGAGATAACATTCTGCAAATTTCCTCACATTGTTCTGCCCGGCTCTGAATGCTCCCCGATGGGATACTCTGGAGATAAATGACAGGAAAAGGATGGAGAACCTAGGTCTCCCCCTCCACATATCCCAGACATTCCCATTATTACCTCCCAGCCACTCAGGATGAATGTGACCTTGTCTCACCTTCTCATTCTGCTACTTTCTGGCAAAAGCTAGAATTAGAAAGTCTCTTACCTCCTTTGGAATCCCAATGAAGATCCCCTTCTACTGGAGTCAGAATAAAATCTTAGTGCTACCCAGTGGGGCTTGTGGTAATAGGCAGCTGTCTCTGAATCCTGTCTTTGTGGGGACCAGTGGTGAGCATGAAAGGAGGAGTCACATTCAGGAATCCTCCTCTCTCAGCCCAGCCCTCAATCTGCTTCCAACCAGGACCTCCTAGTTTCCTTCCTTTGCTCCCACCTTACCCCCAGACTCCTACCTAATCACAAGAGAAAACTTTTGGTCAAACCAAGGAAAGAAAAAGAGCCATCCTACCTTAGCCTTAACTTTTAAAAATCATTCATTCAGCAGATATTTATTGAGTTTTTCATATTTGCCAGATACTGCGCTAGGAGCTGTGGTCCCAATGGATCCCAGCTATTCCAGAAGTTTACATTCAGTGGATAAGGAAGGAGATAATAAGACCTCAAACATATGACTGCATGAAGAATACCATTATGGATTACCATTTTTGCTATGAACTAAACACTGGGGAGGGGGTTGCGTAGAGTATCTCCCCCAAACGTGGTTGTTGGGGAAGAGTTCTCCAAGAGATTCTTAAGCTCCAATGTAGATGATGAGGGAAAAGTCAGGCTTGGGAAAACATGGAAGAAGAAGAATAGAGTGACCAGCAACCACAGTGTCATGGTGTACGAAGATTGTGGTGTGTGTGAGAGTGCTAGGGGATAGCCAGCCCCCAACATGGCCCCAGGTGAGTCTCACCTCCTGACGCTCATGCTCTTATGTATTTCCCCCACACATTGAATCAGGCTGGTCTATGTAACTAAAAATGCTGCAAAGCTAAGGAATATGCCTTCCAAGCCTAGGTCATAAAGGGTATTGCAGATTCTGTTGTGTTTTCTTGGATCACTCAAGCAGCTCTACAGAGTGACCCACATGACAAGGACTGAGGCCTTCTGTTAAAAAAAAAAAAAAAATGAATGAGCCACCTTGGAAGTAGGTCCTCCAATCAAGCCTCCAGATGATGGCAGCCTCATGAAACACCCTGAACCAGAGCTACCTACCTGCATTGTTTCTCAGTTTTGACCCACTGAAACTATGTGAGGCATTCAGTGTTGATTGCTGTCATTTATGTGAGTCCTTGGTCATTTGTTACACAGCACTAGGTAACTAATAGAGCCACCCAAATGTGGTGAGCCAGGCAGAGAGTGGTGGGAGATGAAGGCAGAACAGTTAGCTATGGCCAGATCACATGGTGATTGGGGGCTACAGTGAGAGTTCAGATTGTATTCTAAGTTTGATGGCAACTTAAGGTATGGTTTACACAGAGGAGTGGTATGATCTAAATTGTGTTTCATCAACAGCATTGCATTGTGGGGAATAGATTTGAGAGGGGTAAGAGAAGAAGCAAAGAGACCAACCGGGACTGTTGTATTGCTCCAGGATGTTCAGAAAGGTAAGGGTGGCTTGGAGTGGGTCCATTCAAGATATATTCTGGAGGCAGAATTATCACAGCCTGTTGATAAACTGGATGCGGGAGATTAGAGAAAGGCAAAAATCAAGACTGTATGAATCCAGGTTCTCCAGAAAAACAGAACCAACAAGTTAGATATGGACCTATAGATACAATGAGATATAGAAAGAGCGTTATTAGAAGGTATTGGCTCACATGATTTTGGAGGCCGTCTATAAGCTGGAGGGGCAGGAAAGTCAGGGGTGTGGTTGAGAGCGCAGAGAGCCACAGAGTTGGTGTGTATGGATTCCAGTCTGAGTTTCAAGGCCTGAGAACCAGAAGTGATGATGGCAGGAGAAGGTCAGTCAGTGTTCCACTCAAGTACCCAGGTACAGCACAGATTCAACCTTCCTCCACTTTTTGTAATATTCAGGCCTTCAGTGGACAGCATGGAGACCACCTACGTTGGGGAGAGCCATCTACTTTACTCAAGTCAACGCCAATTCAAATGCTGATCTCTTCTGGAAAAACACCCTCATAGAAACACCCAGAAATAATGTTTAGCCAGACAACTTTGTATCCTGCAGCCCCGTCAAGTTGACACTTGAATTTAACTATCACAAAAGGGACACCTAGGATTTTAGTTTGAGTAACTGGGTGGAAGGTGGTACCTTTTACCGCCATGGAGAATGCACAGAGGAACAGGTTTGGAGGTAACAGCATCAAAAGAGAAAGAATAGCTCATTTTCTATGACATTTGGGAGCCTCTGGTACAATATGGATATAATTACATAGACGTGACATTAGATTCACCTCATCAACCCAGTTTTACTCAGTAGTCCTCCTTCAGCTACTTGTAACTTTACATTTAGTGCAAGATCCACTGGCCCTTTGCTCACCTCGCAGGCAGCTGGGTGCCACAGTCCAGAGTGACCACAGGGCCATTTTGGCCATTATATGGTTAGCACACATTTTACTGAATTTTCCCCCTCAGAATCTGGGTGGTCTGCTCATTTATAAAGGACACAATCTTGTCCCTTAAGCCCGGTGATATCAACTCTCCAGAGAGTGTAGTGTTCGCTTCAGCAGTACACGTACTAAGATTGGAACGATAAAGAGAAGATTAGCATGACCCTTGCACAATGATGACTCTCCTGAGAGTGTAGTAGGATTCTTTGCTTTAGTTGATTTCTTTTGTCCCTACTGCTCTGTTTGAGTTTCTTTATGTGTTTGCACTAAAGACTGAATTGCTTAAAAATTTGGTATCATAACTATAATTCAAGAGCAAAGCCTTAATTATGCTCAGTATAATGGATTAATGAGAGCAAGTAAATGGCCACATTATAGACAGTAACTGATGAAGGGCAATGCTTTGTCAGGCTAAATTAACAAAGGAAGTAATTTCATACATTTTAATGGGATTTGGTGGTTGTGCTGTTTTATTTGTTTTTATTTTCTTTTTTTAGCAGAATGGAGGTCAATCTGAGGGCTTGCAATAAAAATATTTCTTCCCCACTAAAAGTGGTAGTGTGTTTCAGCTCTGGATAATGTGCCTTATTCTGGGGGATTTTCAGAGTAGAATTGCTCTTATCAAGTGGAGAATGGTGTTGGCTGTCAGAGGGTCCCAGTAGGGGTGGCCCCGGGGTCAGGTCCTCAGGTCTGTCCCACCCCTCCTGGCAGCACTCAGACCTACTGCTTTCCCCACTGCATACTGAAGATGCCAGGTTAAATCTCATGACAGCTGTGCCTTGTTAGCATGACTCCAACTCTGTCCCCAGACTCTAAGTTCCCAAGAGCTTAGTGGCAACAAGGGGGGTTTATTAACAATGGATCTTCCCAAGCACTTAGCACAGTGTCCGTAAATGCTGGCTGTTACCACTCAAAAGAAAGGGAGGAAAAGTTACATACACAAATGCAAACATAGATAGGGATAATGCACATATTTATGAATGGAAAAAAGACCAAAGGAAGTACAATGAACCATTGGCAAAGGTTACCTCTGTGAAATAGGATGGTGCTTGATTTTTTATTTTTTCCTTTTCAATATTTTCTACAATAAACATTTGTTTGTTCAACAGATACTTTTTGCATGCTTATCACACATTACACATTGTGCTAGGCCCTGAGGGATAGAAAGATGGAACAGACACTGTCCCAGCCCCAGAGCTGACATCCAGCATGGGGGACAAGGAGGGACAAAGGCAAAGGACAGTGAACAACTTGAGAGCCATCATCAACATCACATACATCCCAGACTTGATATTTCGTTGAGTTTTCCTGGGAATGAACATACAGAGTTTTGAAAAGGGGATGTCTTTTTAAAATTCATATAGGGGTGCCTGGGTGGCTCAGTGGGTTAAGCCTTTGCCTTCGGCTCAGGTCATGATCCCAGGGTCCTGGGATCCAGCCCCGCATCGGGTTCTCTGCCCAGCAGGGAGCCTGCTTCCCTCCTCTCTCTCTGCCTGCCCCTCTGCCCACCTGTGATCTCTGTCTGTCAAATAAATAATATTTAAAATTCATATAAAACTGGGGGTGCCTGGGTGGCTCAGGTGGTAGACCATGCAACTCTTGATCTTAGGGGCATGAGTTCAATCTCAAACTCAGGCATGGAACCTACTTTTTAAAAAATTAAAATTCACATAAAACCATCTAATGGGGTAGCAGTGACCATGAGCAGTTACAATGCAATGTAAATGTAGTGATGAAGATACAAAAGATATCACGTAAGCATGTCTGAAGGCAGTTTGGGGAGTAGGGGAAGATTTCCATAGGGAGTAACATTTTCATCAAACCTGAAAGACAAGAGTTGCTATCACTTTTATAACCAGGATAAAACAAACGGCTTAAAAATTAGCATTGGCTGTTGTTGGATGAATGGCTATTGAACACTGAATGCAAATGAATGAATGAGTGAATGAATATATGAAAAAATAAATATATAATATTTAAAAATCAGAAAGATCAAATGACTAGTCCATCTACCACCAGCTTGAGGAAAAACCACAAGTGAAAAAACAATTGCCTGACTTTCAGCCCAGAGTTATTCCTTCAGGGCCTTGCAACTCAAAGTATGGCCCACAGACCAGCATCAGCTTCACCCAGAACTTGTTAGAAATTCAGAATCTCAGGTCCCACCCCAAAACCATCAAATCAGAGTCAGCATTTTAAACAGAATGCAGGCGAGTTGTGCACACACTGAAGCTTGTGAAGGGGTAGACTTGTCGTTCAGTCTCAATCGCACATTAAAATCACCCAGGAGCTTATTCAAATCTAATAGCCCAGGGTGCCTTGATGTTTATCAGCACAAGTCCTGGGTCTCATTTCTAGGTGCTCTAGTTTGTTAACCATGTGGCCCTAGGCCAGGTCGATGCCTTTCGGTCTCTTGGTTTCTTCCTCTATGTGGTGGGCTACTGACCTGGTTTCTAGTGGCTCTTCTGTAATCCCCTCCCCTGGAGTGCGGGCTAGGCTTCGTATCTCGCTTCGTATCTCGCTTCTAATGAATAGAATACAGCAAAAGCAATAGGTCGTCATCTCCGACTTTAGGTAACAAAAGCCCTTGACTCGCATCTTGCTCAGTCTCTGACTTTTCTCATGTGCTCACTCTGATAAAGCAAGTTGCTGTATTATGAGCTGTCCTATGGAGAGACCCACACGGCAAGGATCTGCAGCCCTGAGTCTGACAGACACAAGGAACTCCATCCTGCCGACAGCCACATGACCTAGCTCAGAAGAGAGTTCTTCCCTAGTCGAGCCTTGAGGTCACTGCAGCCCTAGCCAACATCTTGATCACACACTTAAAAGAGACACTGACCAGCTAAGCCACAAGTGGCCACTTGATCCACAGAAACTATGAGAAAGTAAATGTCTGTTATTACAAGCTATGGAATTTTGGCTACACAGTAATAGATAACTAATAAGACCTATAAAATGGTAATGATAGTAGCATTCATTGATAGAGTTATTGCAAGATTAAATAATTCCCATGAGGTACTTAGAACGGGGCCTGGCATATAATAAACATCATATACATTTTTTTTTAATTTTTTATTTTTTCAGCGTAACAGTATTCATTGTTTTTGCACCACACCCAGTGCTCCATGCAATCCGTGCCCTCTCCAATACCCACCACCTGGATCCCCCAACCTCCCACCCCCGCCCCTTCAAAACCCTCAGATTGTTCTTCAGAGTCCATAGTCTCTCATGGTTCACCTCCCCTTCCAATTTCCCTCAACTCCCTTCTCCTCTCCATTTTGTTCTTAGGTATTATTCGAAAGCACTGACACCCTCGGTACCTACTAAAGAATGTAAGTGCTTTCTCTTCACTAAATGGCCCCAGCCCCCTCTGCTTTCTGAAAGTTTCCTTCTCTACCTTCCTTGTCATTTCACTGTCGCTCCAAGTTGATGTCAATGTGTCTGCTTCTGGCAGTTCCTTTTCACCCCAGTAAAACAACAAAATAAATAAATCAGCTGTTGCTAATCTGCTATAGCCTGGGAAACTTGACAAATAAACTTGTTATTATTGTGCCTAAATCAAATGTAAACAGGCTCTGATTTAGTATCTGAAAAGTTCTCCTGTGATACAATTAAAGTTTTTGGGTTTGTGTGGTTGGTTGGTTGGTTTGTTTGTTTAATACAAAGCATTTGTTACCATCCTTTTTGATGCCCAAAGGCCCTTGTTGTTTCAGTTTCTCAGCTATGCTGTAATCAGTGAGGCCACCAGATTTAGGAGACATCCCCACCTGTCTGCTGTGAGATGAGCATGTTATACATAAACTATGTCACTCATCGCATCTCTGATTTTAGTCATGCCTAAGCTCACTTTCTCTGAGCCCTATCCAAAGTTTGTTGATTTCAGCCAAACAACATCATTTGTTTGTAATGGCTCAGTATAATGAGATTTAATTGCTGTCATTTGCTGTCAAGAGTCCTCACTTAGGCACAGGGATTAGGAGAGACGTGCTAGACAAGCTTCATCTGAGATCTGGAGAGTGAGTCGCATGTAAGGGTGTGAAGGAAAAGAGAAGGGGTTGGAAGATGGTTTAAGGTAAATGGAACAACTTGCACAGATTTCTCAAAGTGAGAGGGAGTGAGACACGTCTGAGGGCCAGGAACAACCCAGTGGGGCTGGAGGGCAGTGCAGGAGACAGAAAGCTCGCTAGATGTGAGAGGGAATGAAGCACATGGCCCTCGCACATGGGCTAGGAGTGTAGGTTTCCATCTGAGGGCACAGGCACAGCACTGAAGGGTTTTAAGTCAGGGATTGGCAAACAGCAGCCCTGAACCAAATCTGCTTTCCACCCTTTTTAGTAAATAACATTTTTATTGGAACACAGCCATAGCCACTCACAGACATAGGATCTATGCACCCTTCATGCTATAAACACAGTTGCAGTGCAGCCTGCAAAGACTAAGATATGTAGGATCTGACTCTTTACATAAAAAGTGGCCAGTCCCTTTTTTAAGCTTACGGGTTCTAGGGTCAGACCTGCATTCTGCATAGATTCTGGATGCTGATCTAGAATGTGCTGACACAGGGGGAGATCCTCTGTCACCTTCCCCTTCTTTATACCCTAGCTGGGCCAGCACACAGGGAACTGTCCTCACGTAAAAAAGATTAGGAGGAGGGCAAGGAAGGGGCCAATGGTTTGGGTAGTCCCCAGACAGGTAAATAAGATTTTACAGGAACTGGTTACATTTTTAATAAACAAAGAGCATTTTGGAGAATGAGAGAGACAAAATAGAAATATGTTGTTTTCCTTTTATTGATACATCAGAAAATATGGTGGCAAATTAAGTACGAAAAAATCTAGAGCAGGGTTAGTAGTTTAAAACAAAGCAAAAACCAAAAAGTCATCTCCCCGCCCCCATCACCAGGCCTGATGTCTATATGCGTAATGACCCTGTCCTTGCAGACAGTCTCTAAGGCAGTAAAAATCTGAGGGCGCTGTTCTTCTGCAGCCAAAGGAAAGAAAGTCACAAAAATATGAAAAAGACTCCATGGGTCCCAAATGCACAGTTGCTGAGGTCCCGCTTGGGTTTACTTAGGAGCAGAGTTTGCTAAGAAAACAGTTGGTATTCTCTAACTTGAGTTGGGAGTGGGGAGGGTGAGTTAGAAAACGTGAAGCCAAGGGCAGTTGCTTCTCTAGGACAGCTGGCAGAGACCCAAAGTACAAAGTTGTC